GATAAGCGGATTGTACAAAATTTTGTTTTTCATCATAATCTACGTAATTAGCTCTTTGGAACGAATCCAACGATTTTCCAATTTTTTCATACCATTGAAGTAAGATATTTTGTGGAGAATTAGGAAAATGGTTGTGTTGCTGCCAATTCTTTGCGATTCGACAGACAGCCATCTTTCGAGGCTTCCGAATACACTATAGTCTAAGTCGACACAAGATGGCGATTTGCGGAAGCCATTCATACTTCAATTAACATCAATTTTCCTGTCAAATGCTTGATGAGTATTGTGGTATGGTATTGGGGTAAAAAGCTATATCTTCCTCTGTACATCTTCCCTTTTCTTTTTGATTTTCCCAGTCAATCGATCCGTCAATGCTGACGAATACGCGCCTGTTAACCTTCTAGATGAAGGCTATATCATGTGCAACCCAGAAAACATTGACCGTAAATTTTCGCACCGATGCTTACACTTTAGTGCGCTTCCATCCAATCTTTCAATGAAAAGATTGAATTGAAATAAATGAACTTTAAAATACTTCACTGAGCTAGTCACAGGAATGCTGTGCTTCAATCAGTTGCGAGCGAGAACAGCGCTCATATTGCATAAAGCGATTTTGCACCCAATTTTTCAGGTGAAAAGCTAAGAACAAATTCGTTGCGTGGTTTTTATACCCAAACAACAACAAATAGTGAGTGTAAAAGTTTACAATGAAAATACTTCGGACACTAAAGCACGTGAAACTAGATTTTGATTTAATCGGTGATGTGATGTGATGTGATTTAGATGTGCAGAACACAGGAAACGGTTCAGGAGAGAAGAATAAAATATCAGATAGAACAGAACGACCAAACGTGATCGAGCACACACCAGAGCACGATCATATGTTTACATGCCGCGGCAAAAATGTAAAAGAGGTAAATACAAAGAGGCATTATAAGGTGTTCTTTAAACATGTCATGTATATTGTTTGTGGAGAATTTTTCGACATTTTGCGCGGATTCTTTTCGCGGGCACTTCAAGATCTATTAGCTTGTAAGTCGGTTTGCCCAGATCACCATTGACCCTTTTGACAGCATAAAGGTAATTTTCATTTCCCAACATATGATACATTCGTGTGATATTTAAGAAGAACTCACATCTCTGTTCTGTTGACGAAGGAGCACATCCCCGCCTACGATCGGCTCGTAAATTATTGCAAATTATACTCTATTGCACACACATAGATTCAATTGCATCAATCATCAAATTTATTCTAGATATCGATCTCTTCACCTCCAACTAATCCAATATATTTACTATCAATGGCGTCAATATGATTCTATTGTAATTTACTCGTGCGATATAAATTCTCAGTTAACGATTTCAGATAATCAGTTACGATCGATTACCATGTCCATGGTGACGTTCCATAATTATTCATATGCTAATGAAATATACTCTGGTATCTGCTGTTTCCCATGGGTTTGCCTATATTCATATTTAATTGCGCAAATATAGAATCGTGGAGGCAACGCCAGGTGTTTACTTTACTGCAAGCATTTAGACCGATAACTACAATATATATTCAATTAAGCAGCAGTTAAAGGTAAAACCAATATGAACATATGAAATTATACTAAAAGATTAAAGAGATAGAAACAAATTTTAAAACTATTAAGATCTGTATACCAGAGCAATGAGGGCAGTGATAGGGTGGGCACGCAGGTGGCAGACGTTTTTTCTTAAATATTTGTAAATTTCCTTCCTTACACAAATTGTTGTACACCATACAATAAGTTTGTACGAACGTAGGTATATTATTTCCTGAACCGATTTAAGTTTATCGATCCAGTTCCCAACTTTACAAATATTGTGACGAACGCTGACTTGCTTCACCAAAGGACGAATAGTATTGAAAATGATTCGTATCGGTTCACTTTTTCAACCGCTTCGCATAATCATCGGATAGTATATTAAAGAAAGTAATTCCTAACACTTTCTTACAATTACCTTGCAATTTTATTAAAAAATGTCCAAAGGCTTGTTCACACAATTAACATATAAATAAATGAACACCGTGTGAAATGAACAATTTCTTCATGATAGTAATTTGACATAAAAATGAAGCGGATCAAATTTGAGTCACATGAGTCTATTTCTTTCTTGTTCCCCACACCATGTAAGATTTCTTATAAATAGTAACCCCTTCCGAGAGGGATTTGATTTTTAATATTTTATAATGAAAATTGATCCACAGTAGCAATTTAGTATAAAAATGAACGGTATAAAATTGGATTGCATAGGTCTATTTCTTAGACTCTAACATATATAGAGGTTATCGTGAAAAGCCAGCTCTTGCATGGGGTGGGGAGAAAGTCCATTTTTTCTATTTTTTTATGATGAAAGCTCAAAAATATTAAAACAATTTAAAACTAAATTACGTTAACTCAATTTTGATCACGTCATATGGGAGTTTGGGCTTCCTCCAATATTCGGGCGTTCATGGGAATGATGTGTTAATTGCATTGTGTGCATTATTACCAAAACGTCTTAATAATTGTATTAGACGAATGGATGTAGGGTATCTAATCGACGGCCCTGCCCGACTATAATGTTCTTACTTGTTTTTATACCCACTACAAAAGGATAAATGGTAACATCTCAAAAGGAAGCTTCAGAGACTCTACAAAGTTCTTGGCCAGTGCGAAATTTTGTCTGACCATCTGTGTGTCTTTGGTATTGGCATTCTACTGATTCAAATTTGTTAGAAACATTCGAAGTTCTTGCACGCATTGCATTGGCATTGCAAATGCGCCAAATTGGTCAGAGCAGAAGCGCATAGTGGAGCGTAAGTTTAACGGAATTCTGTCTTTTTCAACAAAAATATGCTCCTTGCCTGTTTTTGCTCCTTACTCAGAAATTATAACAAGTAGAAGGTTCAAATTTTCCATATTTACTTTATGAAGCACTACTCTAATCTTTACCAGCAAAAATGGGAAAATCGCTCATCCTCACCCAAAGTTGCAAGTGATTAAATTTTATATTTTCACTTTTTTTTTTTCGATTTATGCTTATTTATCATAAGGCAAAGAAGACAAAATGTTTAAAATTAAAACTATTTTGTGCATTCCATAAATGATGATATATTATCTGCCTAATACCAGCGATACGGGTATCAAATAAAAGAACTTGGAGAGCAGAATGTGAAAAGCTCAGTGTGTTAGTTTCAAATGAAACATCTCGGACGTCAGCACGTAGTGAACTCATGCTTTTGTTGCAATACCGTTGATATGGGTATCACATAAAAGACCTTGGAGAATAGAATGCGAGCAGCTAACTGTGTTAATTCTAAATTAATTGTTGTAGACGTCACGACTTAGTGGACAAATCTATATGCCAGGAAAAAGTCGATTTTAGAGATTACATTTACATGTGCGTCACAAACGGTTCAATTATTAATAATGTTTGCAGCTTCTCTTGACGATCAATATATTTATGAAACGTTAAACCACTATTGCATAGAAAATTGTCGTTTAGTTGGACTGACAGGTCACTGCGACTTCATTTAAACAAAAAAGCTAACCTCTATTCACGAAAATGACAAGGTCTCGTTCAGCAAATGATCTTGTTTTCAGTCAAAGGATGTCGTCTATCTGCGCTACGCGGTGACTGTCAGAAAGAGACGAGGAAAGAGAAAGAAATAGAGAGGTGGTGGCCGCAGCCAAATAGCTTAAACCATGTCCCAAAGTATCGCTATACATATATAAATAAATAAGAAAAAACAAGTAAGCGTATTATAATTGGGCAAGGCCAATCATTAAATACCCTACACCGCATTCTCTAACACAACTTTTATTTTTGTATGAAATTACTATCATGGGTCAATTTTCATCATCACATATTAAATCTTAGACTTTTCCGCTCTATAAATCATCAATTTTCGTGAAAATTCTTATTATTTTATTACAATCCAAAAAAATAGACCGAGATGGTTCAATCTTGGTACAGAATTTTCAACATGAATCATTGAAAATTATATATTATTTTTTAAAAATTGCCCCACGCGGTCCAAAGTTTTCATGCCATTTTACTTAGCCACTTTTGTTGAGAAATTTTGAGAATTGCAATTTTTTTCCATATAACGACTTTCCAGAATAGGGCTTTACATGGAGAGTGATGGAAAAAGTAGATCGCTACGGACCATTTTCAATAGCAAAAATGGAAAAAAACATGTATACGTCCAGCCCACTAAAAGGCCGTATACATCAAACGTGCAAAAGTTAGGCGTGGGAACTATCCAAGAGAGCGAATCGTAACGTTAAAAAATTACAAGTTTTAGCCTACATTTCACATTAGCGACACGCGAGTATTAAGAAAATTAGATGTATTATTATGTAAGCAACATTTACAGGGTGTTTACAGGAAAGAACTCTTAGTGCACCTCTATATATTATATAACTGAATTTACAATAACCAAGTCTTATAAGGAGAAAAGTCCTTGAAATATGAATACGAAGATTCAATTTGTACCGTCAATGAAACCATTTATCAATTTTTACCATGGATGAAATGCCCGTATAATAAGCCTATGTTTCTCTGGTAACAACAGAGTTTCAACATGAATTTCTTAAAGCAAAAAGCAAAAATTTATTCTCGAAAGATTCAGTGGAATCAACGCGACGTTACCGTACAACGACGCCATATTCCAGAATACAGGGCATACATTCAATATATTACCCACATCTAACATAGAATGAAATGATAGGCTATTTATCGCGCGCCGATGAGCCTCGCCGTCAATTGCCTTTTTCTTAACTAGAAAGTAACATTCATTAGTTGAAATTTAAATAATGACTTTATTCGCAACGTACGGGACATTCATACAAAATTTGATAAACTTAGACCTAACGGTTTGTGTGTAGTTACTCTACAATATTTACAATTTATTTATAGTAAATTAAATTTGGTTGAAATGATTGCTGAATCGATAGCTACACTGCACTGTCCTTTAATGTTAAGATATTATTATAATATTTAATGGATCATTAATGTATAAGATAAACAGAATAGATGCTATGCGACTACCTTAATGTAGTCAGATGTGACACTCGTTCATCATTTGGAGATGAATACAAAGGGTATACAATTATATTAGAGAAATGAATACAAAATATTGTACGATTCTTGCCAACATGTATATTGTTAATAATAAATATTCTCGTTCATAACAAAAGCAATTCATTTAAAAAACGCAAATAATATCAAGCTAAACGTTTAACGACAGTATTATTACCGCTATTATTAATTGCACAACTTCGGTCTATATTTAAAAGCTTTTCTAAAAGCGAAACAAATTTTTGTGCCAAAATTTCGGGACAATCGGTATCTTTTTGACCATCGGTTACCGTCAAAGTTTCCATATACATTTTTTTATAAAGTTCAGCCTTATACTTTGGATCCTTTCCCGTTAGGAGCAATTTTATTAAAGTTTTCAATATAAATTGCAAGCGATTTTCGAACAGTAGCATGTGCTTAACGAACTCCGTTTCATTACTACTAATGCTTTGTGTTCCGTCTGAGGCGGTATTAAGATTAGTTAAAGCGTTGTCGAATATAGATTTTGACTCGAAGCAGGTTTCTAAAGCCATTTGGAAATGTTTGATTTTCTGTGAGGCGTGTGAAGAATCTAACGAACAAAAAAAACAGACATTTCATTAAGGCAAACTTTCAAACCCATTTAAAATAATCATTTCATACTTTCTGCTAAGAATTCTTGCAACGATATGCGCTCCAACTGTACCACCAAATAATCGCTTGTTTCTCTAAGTGCGTTCAAAGTATAAGCCGCTTTCTCATAATGATATCTGCATAACTGCAAAGTAGTTTTCGACAAAGTGCCCGTCTCAGCAAAGTTATTGCGCAACTGGCTATAGTGGAATGAAGCAATTCTGTATATGCGCAGATAGTTTTAGACATAATATGAAAATGGCCTTATTATTAGTAATTAACAAAAATTACCTCTTATGAATCAAACCGGAGCGATAAGTGTATAACACTTGTCTTGTTCCCTGGTGCTCAACATCGCAAAATTTTAACGATTTTTGCAAAAGATTCAATACTTCCTTTTCCAGATCGGCAATCATAGCCTGATGTGTTGGAAATATTCACAAAGTTGATTTTTAAATTATGAAAACATCTATAGACATGTAAGTGAATGCATAAATACTTTTTTCACAAACCTCATCTGCAGTACTAAAATCTTGCATTTGCTTCGCCAAAGTAAAAGTGGCGGTTGACATTTCCCAATTGACTAAGTCCCATAGTTCTGGGTTTGATTTACGTGATCCCAAAACATCGTGGGCCTTCTCATAATAGGCAAACGCTTCGTTGTAAAAAGTTTTTTGCTGTTGCACAAAACTAATGCTAAGGCAAAATCATTATATGGTAAACATAATTAAATAATCGTCTTTCTATACCTTTCGCTAGACAAGAAAAGATGCGCCCTAAAACGCATAAAACGCCCCATATTGCAATATAAGAATGCTAGATTAACATTATCATGCACCAAACTGAAAGCGTTTATGCCACGCATTAAGCTATCATAAGACTTCATGGCTAATTTTATATACATGCTGTCGGCAGAATCCATTTTGACTTTGGCTGGAGAGTTATGAACACTTTCGTGATCATCGAGGTCATTATTATTTTCTGCGTTAGCTTTGGCATATTCTTCCTGAGCCCAATACATATACTTCAAACCCAATTCGTTACGCACATTACCCAACCGTCTAAGTAGTTCATGTGATGTTTCCTTAGAATTCACTGAGTAATGAGAATCTTCCATTAATTTCAAGGCACGTTCATAACAAGTGCAACTGGAAACCATGAGATGTTCGAGATTTCGTTGTGGCTTTATGAGCTCACCTAAATCATCACCATCTGTGAAAGATCATCAAACAAATAAATTTAAACACATACATTTACATTTGCATTCGTGTTCCCATTACTATACCTTCTGATTCCTTTTCCAATTCTTCTAAAATATTCTCTTCAATGTCCAAAACGTCATAGTATTGCCTTAAATATTCGTCAATGTTATGCCAATTTTTAGCCATTTGAAAAAAATAATCGCCGGCCCGTCCCAGTAAGCAACTTTTCTGTGAAACTCTGGAACTCATGTATTTAAGTATGACCTCTTGACAACGACAGGACGTATAAATAGCTTTCAAGCTTGCACCAAATTTTTGATCCAAATAATTAAATTCAGCAAAAGTAGCATAAGCGAGACAAGCCTTTTCAAATAGCAATAATTTTAAGTGAACATTCCAGGAACCAAAGTGTTGCGAATTGAAATTTTCTGCAACTTGTTTAGGATCTTGCAATTGTTTTATTAGTAACGGAGGCTCATGACAAGGTTTTATTTCTTTAGTATTTGCCTTCTTGGATTTAAACTTTTTTCTTCCATCATATATGGCCTGTATCTCTTCTTCCTGATCCGTATCCTCATTACTGGAAGCAGACATTTTCATTTGTTGAGTACTTATACTCTCATAAGGCAACGGTATTGGTTTAAATGGCTTGGCCATATTGGGATTTTGTTCTTCATGCAAGATTCTTTGTTTTTCTTCATCCTTAGCTCGCGTTTCGCTCTCCTTAATAAATTTCTCTTCGCTAGAATCGAAAAATTGTAAACAAGATAATCCCTGACTAACATGCTTCAAAGCCATTATACAACGTTCCTCAGTATCAGTGACCAAAGGCGCGGGCCGATGTTTCCCACTTTTGGGCAACTTCTCAAAATGAAATTCTTTCAAAGTCTCGCATATATTTTTGACGGCAACATTATGTTCTATACCTAGTTCCTGAAAACTAAAATACTCTTCATTTTCATCTGTGCTATTATAATCATCATCGTCTTCTTCATCGAATACCGATTGCAAATCAGAGTCAGTTTCATTGACTTCAAATTGTGGACTATTTGGATCTGTTCCCACCGGTATGTGCAAGTCCGACAATATGTAATGCGATGAAGTAACAATTTGCGGATATTTCTCTTTGGGTAAAAGCTTAATACAATTGTCTAAAAGAGCCCGTATATTACCTGCCGTTTTAGAGGAAATCTGAGTACAACGCTTTTTCATGTTACGAGCAACCGTATAGAGCAACATGCCGACAGGCACTGTGAAAGGGTTACCGTGTTTTTCGTCACATTCGTCGTTGGTTTGATTTTTACAGAGTGTAGTGAGATCATATAATTTAACTACATCATCATTACGTCCCTTAAACAACCAGTAAGTGTGTCCTTCTTTGGTAGCATTGGCTTTTAGAAAAGCCAAAATATTTTGTGCTACGTTGCGTATTACTTGTGGTGAGAACTGAGAGTTCTCTAAATAAGGCAAGTCTTCAGTTTTTATAATCTCGTATTTCTGTACGATGCCGTCGAGGTGATAGCACATAACCACCTCCGGTACATTGCACATAAGATTGTCGAGCCAGTAATCAATGCCAGTCAACACATTTATAGGCTTAGCCATATCCCTGAGACGTAAGCTGATGCACGGCCTATTTGGACCACCAAATATTGGCATGTCGGTGCCAATCAACATACGTATATCTTCAAATGTCCAGACCACATTACGTTGGAATACATGAGACGAGGCTGGATCGGGCACGTTCTCTTCGATCTTAGGTTCCGGTAGCACGGGTGCAGTTATGGACAAATTCTTGTCTTCGCAATATACACTTGCGTTGGCATCTTCATCATCAGTTTCATCACTATCTGATTGTTTAAGAGAATAATACAAGAATTTCGAAAGTAGATTTTTTGTTTGTATAGCCTCTCGCGATTTATCTTTTAGGCAAACAGTGTGAACTCCCTCCTCGTACGCTAATATTTGTTCTAATATAAATGTTCTCAACCACTTCCAGTCATCATCTTCTTTCCGTAGCAAATATTTTTGTATATCAAATTCATCCAATAGCAATGTATTACCGACTTTGTGAACAATCATACTAATTGCCCCTTTAGTAGTATACGGCAGTTTTAGTAACTTCTTGATATTCTCAGCATCGGCCACTACATCTACTTCACCAACGCAGTCCGGAAACATATGAGCCATACGAAAGCTTGCAAATCCAGGTGAGTGATACAAAGCCTGATGTAATCCATAGCTGTTATCTGCACTTGTCAACCAATTTGATGGAGGCAAATTTAAATTCGTGTTGCACTCTAAACGATTGAATTTTGCAGGCACTTGCACCTGAGAAAACTTCACCACCGCCTTTGATTTAACGGTTTCCTCCACTTCGTGGGGTTCCACATTCTGACATACTTCAATCTGAAAACACACATTAGTACAAAAACACTTTTTCTCTTTTTTTATATTTTACCTCATCAATGTTCTCCATTATTAAAAATTTTTCAACATTAAAAAGTTTTCTTGGAGACAATATAAATTATCTAATAATTCTTTTTATGCAATCTTTAAATAAAATTTCCAAATTTATTTATGAAAATATTAAGCAAATTGAAGGAGCAAGAGTACTGCCAGATGTAAAAAATCTGCCTTATTCAATATAATACCAAGAGTTTTTTCATAACGCATGATTGCTTCGATAAAAATATGAAAAATATATTTTTATGAAAATTTTTTCAACAGTTAGATGCACCACAGTTAAATGCACATTTTACTTTAGTGCCGTTAACCGTTTAGACTAACAACGTGGTTTGATTAGTGGCATTGGGCAGTTAGGATTTCATAGGTTTAGAGCATTCCGTAAGGCACTAGCTAAACCCTCTAAGCGAATGCTCCAAGGTCATTGAGCTACCTCGTCGATGCTAATTGTTGCTCTGATTTCCGTTGTAGGTTCTTATGCTTCCAATATTGTACTACGTTCGTTTTTCGTCATCCTTTTCAGATAATGGGGAAAATTACGTTTCCCGAGTTTGACTTTCTTTAATAAATTTACTATTTCAAAAATCCTATTGCTTTAATTAAGAAGTTATTATATTCAAATATTTTATATATTATATGGTTTGAAATTTTGGTTTATATTGCACGAAAAGCGAAAAACAAGACTACGATTTAAATACAGTTTATCAAATTATTTTATTAGAGTGTATTGTTTTAAAAGACTGAGCGATTTTCAACAAATAGTGACCTTCGAAGATGCCATAAAATTTATGTAGTTTACGAGGGTTAACAAAACAATTTATGCCTAGGAGCAATGTTATGACTTTCCAAGGTACGATTACGATTCCAAAAGCACCCTCTAAAAATTATCTTTCTCTTGAAAGACGAGCATTGAAGTTTTGTTTCTCTTCAGGAAACGTTTTCAAAAAGTTATTATCTAATGGAAAAAGAATATAGTGTTCAGTTTGACGAAAAAACAATGCTAAAATCCAACATCCACAGTTGTAAAAGCGTAATTTATATATTGTATGTTGTAATAACTCGTTGAACATCGCAGGTTAAAACAAATAGTACTATCCAATATCTTTTTCGTACATCTGAGCAATCCCTTTCCTGTTTTATTTAACATGATCATGATAAATATATTTTCCGTTAACTCTTTACTTCACTAACCATTCAAAAATCTTCTTCTTCTACGACAACAGATCATTTACTGTGTAAAAATAAGTTCAATTTCGACACGACGTTTCATGTTTGAACTTTAATAGCTTGGTGATTCACTACGTTGTGCAAGAAAAGAATCTTTCTCTGGACCTTAGTAAAATTAAAGATTAGTTTTGATATATTTTCTTTGTATACCTTTATTTAATATCATTCAAACCAAACTTTCATTATATTTTGCGTTTTTTTTCTATAGTTACTCCTTCTTATTAATATTCTTTTCAATTGTAACATTTTCATGTATTGAATGCATTATTCTTGATTTCTACATTCTTATTTCTTAACCCATATGTTTACATTATATCGATTTCTTTTATTTTGACTTATCAAGTAATATGGTAACGCAAGCAAGCGCCGCTTTTATTATAAACGGAAGCTTTGATTTTTGTTATACTGTTATATAATTATCTAACGACATATCATTAGTCGCAGGTTGACAAATGCTCATAGGTGAAAGAACGCCATCTCTTCGAAACCATTTCAATGACTTCCCTATACCCAAATTGGTAACTACTATTCGTTATCGACAATGTTACCACATGCCCACATTGACATTATTAGTTATTGGTAATTAAGCTTCTATTATTTACAAAAAAAACTATATGAACGAATGATTTGAAAATTGGTCGAAACTCATCAATTTATATCTCTGAGTCTTTGAAGCTTTGTTTAATAATGGAGTTATGAGATTTAATCGAGTTTGAAATGTTTTTCTTTTTATATATTTTATTATTAGGTAATTTTTTTATCTGCATGCATTTTTTTAAAATTCATTTTGTTTTCTTTCTTGCCCTTATTGTATTGCTCGGTAAAAAATTCATTCAATCCGTGCACATATTCAGTTAAATATTGAAAAAATCCGGAAGTGGAAAACTTAAAGAAAAATATAATCATATTCCTCTCGCATTTTCTTCCGTTTAAATATGTTCTTAAATTTTTAATCTACAAAACAAAAACTAATATTTTTATTATCTCGCATATTCTTTTATAAAAATTAAAAATAATTAATGTTGACCTATAGTATATTTAATTATAATTCTGCTATTAAATAAAAAGAACAGTAATTACCCTTTCATTTCTTCTAAAGCTATGACGCATCAATCTTTTTCTTGTTTAGCATTTAACTACATCTTCATGGATTTGTATATAAAAAGAGAATAGATCTACATTGGGCAACACTGAAAAAAGAAACATGGTAAATTTGTATTGAAGATACATAGTTTCAATTACAGGTTATCCGACTTGCATAAGTCATGTAAAAACAAATATTTAACTTTTTTCTTTTAGATCCATCGTTGCTACTATATCTTCATATTATGAATGCAGCTCTTGATATTGATTGAAAACAAAAAGTATCCCCACTTTTAGAAGAAAGAATTTTATTGAAAATTTTCGTCCCCATTTATGATCAAATCTTTTTTATTCTTCTGGCAATATTGAATGACGCGTACGAATTTATATCAAAAGGGGTTAATTTCTCATCTACGCCATTACAAGTGAAATAAAGTTACTTAGATTTGTATGAAAAGGGAAATTTAGTCGACAGATATTTTTTTCAAAGTTTATCGAAAAAATTGTGTTTAACAACATGGATATACACTCCATTTGTCGTATATGCCTGGAATTTTTACAAAATGGAAACGCCTACGACTTGTTTATGATACCCGGGTTGGCGAAAAAATTGTGTATGTGTACCTCGTTGTCAGTGGAACCACAAGATGGTTTCCCTAAAAACATCTGTGGGGTATGCTACACCCGACTTAATGACATGGCCGAGTTTCAGAAGTTATGTGCAGACTCCGTGCAAAAATTCCAGGACATGATTGCTACTAACGCCTTTAATTGTCCACCTTTGGATGCTATTGATATGCTAGAAGCACCAGCTGCCATGCAATTGGATCCGGCCGCTGTTAATGATCCGGAAGAAGATCGCTCTGACTTTGACCCTTTGCTCACCAATCATAAAATGGAATTGATTGAAAACGAGGAGGATGTGTTTAAAATGTTAGAGCATGTAGAAAAGGATGTAGAAGAAGTTGAAACCAAGGTTGAAAAATTGGATGAATTTCCTGAAGAAAGTGAAAAATCTAGCGAGGAAGAGGAGGAAGAGGATAAAGAAAGTGATGAAGACTTTCAAGCTCCAGAAGAAGAGAGTGAGAGTGATGACGATAAACCGTTGGCAAGACGTTTGCGTAACATCAAAAAAGAGATGAGCAACACGGACCCGAAAGTGAAGCCAAAGCGTAAACGTATACCGGCTGCCGAGCGACATCTGCACCGCATAATTGAATGCCACATATGCCATCAAAAGTTTAAAAAGACTAGAAATTACGAGGAACATATGAAACATCACAATGATAAATTGCCATTCCAGTGCGAAGTGGAAGGCTGCAAACGTGGCTTTACCACTGCCTATGGTTTGCGTTTACATGTAGAACATTGTCATTCCGAGACTGTAGAGCACTTACCTTGTACTATTGAGGGATGTACGCAAACGTTCACTCGGCGCCGTACTCTCAATTGGCATTTAAAGAGGGTACATAAGATAGCTAAGGAAGATGTACCCCGTCATTATCCTTGTTCAGAGTGCGAGAAAGTATTCAAGTGCCCAATGGCTTTGAAAAAGCACATGTATAAGCATGATGGCAAGGAGCTTCCATTCCCTTGCAATATATGCGGAAAACGTTTCGTCATCAATAGTGCTCTCAAGGATCATCTGATGCGTCACGCAGGCATAAAAAATTATGTATGCCCATATTGCGGTGTAGGCAAAACAACACGTCAGGAATGGAACACTCATATGCAAACTCACAGCCAAGAGAAGAAATTCAAGTGTCCCCTATGCCCTCACGCATCTCACAATAAGAACAACTTACGTTTACATGTTCGTGTAGTTCATGAAAAAATTAAAGATTTTGCTTGCCAATACTGTGGCAAAACCTTTGGCAAATCGAACGCCTGCAAAATACACGAAATGACGCACACAGGTGAAAAACGTTGCGAATGCAAAGTATGTGGCAAAGCCTTCTTGTATCCTAAAGGTTTAACAAAACATTTAAAGACTCATGAAAAACGTGTTTTGCGGGCTATCGAAATCTATCGTAAACGTCAAGCTGAAGCTGGTACTTTGCCAAACGAGCAGGCAGGCGCTGATTTGCCCTCGTTGCCTGATCCAGCAGACAATACGCAGGAATCGCATCAAAAAGTAGCCGATGAAATTCTTAAGGTTTGTGCTGATTCAGTGAATGCTATACCCAAGGATCCCAGACGTGTGGAACGTGTAGATATGGCCGAATTAGCTGGTACAGCTGTAAATCCTATTCCACAAATAGCTTTGCCCTCATGGTCCCCACAAATTAATTTTATGATGAAAGAGGGCAAATATACTTGCCCCGATTGTGGCCAAGGCTTTAATGGCGCCGGTAATCTGCGTCGCCACCATAAGATCGTACATCAAGGCGTTAAAGACTTTGCTTGTCGCTTCTGCCACAAACGCTTTGCCAAGGCTCAAACATTAAAACATCATGAAATGACACATACTGGTGAAAAGCCGCACGCATGCAGTTTATGTGAAATGCGTTTCATACAGACAGTAGCTTTGAAACGTCATATGAAGGTGCATCAAAAATTGCCAAACCTTGTCCCATCCACTGTTATTTTGGCCAAGGAGGAATTAGCAATGCAAGAATTTGAAAGTCAAGAAGCCAAGCGCAAGGCCGAGATAGAACGTGAGGCGGCCGCAGAGGTAGCTCGGCGACAATTGGAAGCGATTACTGAACAAGAAGAAGATCTAAAGCGAAGACAAAAGGAGGCATTTGAGAATCTACCCAAGGCCATCCCTAAAGAACGTTTGCCACCGGGCGCAGATATAACGATTGCAACAAATTTGTTGCCAACAGATTTGGAAGAACTTGTTACCAAAAACATGAAAGCAGAAGACGATGACGCTATGCAACGTCAAGATCCTATGGCCGGCTATTAAAGCTTCTGACGAATTCTTTCGGAATTATGATGCCTGAACGAAGCAAAGCACTAAGTATTCTTTTAACTTGAATGTCGTTTGCAATCACTTACACTGTTTTCTCTCTTTCTCCATTTCTCCATACATAGGCATCAACAGTTTTTACATTTAATTTCAGTGCTTTTTTTTTTTGTCAATTTTTGTGCAGTAATGATTGCTAAATGTTAAAGAAAAATTTTATTATATTTTATCATTTGTTAATATACATATAAATTCTTTTCATAATGATTAATTTCTTCTTTATATCTGATATTATCATAAAAACTCTCGTGTAATGCTAAACAAAAAAAATATAGAAATTAAGTACGCGTTCGGCTATACTTACACACATACATATATGGCATACAAATTACTCAAATTCGATTCAATTATAAATGTAGTTTATTCGAAAAATGTACACATGGATGTTTTTACTACAATAAGAAAAAGTTCCAAGTAAGTTTTAAACTGCCAATAGGATATCAAATTTCAGAACATGCAAACGCAAGTGATATTGAAAGTCTTGACGTCCGGCATTTACGTTTATGATATCCCCCATCCTATCTCTTTTTCAAAGTAAATAAAAAAGAATTTTGTTTTTTTTTCTTTTCAAATTTTTCAATTTTTTTTTTTTGGATTTTACGTTTACTTGTTATTTTTATAATGATGAGACAATGATAATGAAAAAGGAATAGTATGTTGAGAGATGAAAGCCAGTATAACAAGCATTATGATGATGATCACAGGATGAGAAAAATGCAAGTATACGAACTCGTATACTTTATAAGAAAAAAATTAAATATATTCGCAAATCAAGGAAATATAACAAAATTCAGAAATTGGAAATGGTAATAGAAAAAAGAGCCAAAATGTACAGCGAAGTCTGTGGTTGAAAAGTTCCAAAAGCGATCGCCAAACAGACTTAGGGGGCTTCTGGTGTTTTTAGGTTGTACTTGGATTTAATATTATTTAATTCTTCCTGCTTTTTGTCAATATCCAAGCGCTTGAAGGCTTTATTTGATTGGTAGTACAAGACAACCAAATACCGATTGCAAACATTAAAACCAGATAAGTGGTCACAAGCATTTTTCGCGTCAAAGATATCTTCGTAGACAACAAAGGCTGTACCACGTGTCTCCGGTGTATTGCCACTATACAATATAAAAAAAGAGAGAAATGAATGAAAAACTATTTTCATTAAATCATATCAATTATAATTACACTTACACCCTTATTTGTCTGATTGCACCGAATTTTCCAAATATATCGTACATTTCATCAGATGTGATCTTATAAGGTAAATTGCGCACATATAATAGCCGATTCACTTCAGGAGGCAAACGAATCTGTGTTATTATTATTAAAAAAGCAATTTGCACTCTAACTGAAAATCTTTATCTATATATACATATATATATATATATATAATTTTACTTACATTATTGCGTTTATTCATTTTCTATCGTCCGACTAAAAAAGTGCTTGTTTCCTTTTTTTAATGAAATGGAGCGAGCCCTCAGAGTGATGTGTTATTCCTTTCTTAGCTACTGAAAGACTGCTGATGATTAGTTTATTGTTAGTTTTAATGCGTTGTTTTCCTTTGTTTGCTAAAATTGTATTTAATATCCTTTGTCCTTTTGTTTGTCTCCGCAAATAGCTTCTTTTATTACCCTTCACACAATGTTGCCAGAAATAAAAAAAGAAAGAGGATATTTTTATTTCTTAATGTCAAACTACCACCAGTTATTTCACTTTTAAAATGGCTGCGACTTTTGTCTTACACTTCAGGGTCGCACACAATGAAGCGGCAGAATGAAGCTTCGTTACATTTTCAACCCCACACAGAATATATGTAATTTATAAATTTTTCAACAAATGGAGGGTAGATAAATTTACTACGTAAATATTTACTATTTAAATGCATATATATACATATATATATACATAAACAATTCTAAATAAATATTATATACATAATTAATTAATTTATAACATTTATACATTCAATATCTGCCCCAGACATGGGAATATAAGCGAAGCTTCACTATGTCATCCCCTTAGCCGGGGTAAGACAAATCATATGGGTTTGTGTTAAACAAAAACAAATATAAATTAAAAAGAAAATAAATTATATTTCTAATTTGTGTGTATTTTGTAATAATTGTAATATAAAAAAAAAAAAAAAAAAAAAAAAAAAAAAAAAAAAAAAAAAAAAAATAAATGAAAAACAAGCAATTTAAAATGTATTTTTTAAATGAAACCGTTTTAGCGATTCTTCTGGTGTGTTCAATTGCTTTAAATTAAATTCGCCATAAGACGAATTACTTAATACCCACCAATAAGTGATGTTTGATTTTCGATAAAAAATCACAGCATTTCTACACGGTTCAATATTGTATCCTACGTTTTATAAATTTAATAGAACATTTTTTTACGACGTGGGCTTTAAACTTTGCAATTAATTGCGTAAACTAAAAATATATATATCGACATACTCTGCTTTATTTATAAAACATTTTTGGTAACATTAAGGTTGATATTCATAATGAAAATTTAAAAACCAATATTTAAATTCTGGACCCTTCGACAATTGTATGATTTATCTTGTTTGGTGATCTGTCTTAACCCAATCAGAGTGACATGGAATATTTGAGAACATATATAGGCTAATGGTTAAGGTCGTATTCACGAATTCGCGATGGGTAACCATGGCTAAATCGATCTCCGTGTATTCTATACGCAAATAGAGAGTGACAGAGAGAGGGAGAGAAAGCCACTTGCGTTCAAATCTTGCGTTCAAATGCAAAAACCGAATGGCTTATTAAAGTATGCATTTAAAGTTTTAGTGGTCGAGGAATGTTTCGAGAACAAAATTTTAGAATATATAATCGACAATTACTTTTTTGGCTGCCTGATATAGCAGTCTTAAATGACGCTTGAAAGATGGAAGAAACTGTGGAGGATCAATTGCCAGCACACTTTGTGCTCATTTGTATACTTATCCTGAGGTGAACTGATTGAGATTGTTCTTTTAAGAATAATTAAATGCTTTTGTTAAATATTGGAAATAAATTTCAAATCGATATTTGATATAGGTTGTAAGCAATTAAAAGATATATATCGTCTATGTGTTATTTTATAGTGATTTTCTCTCAGATGTAGTTCGCAATTATTCCTCCGAACACATATTTCGCTGGGTTATCTTCATTCTTGCCACTCATTCAGCAAAAACCTCTGGCAAACGACATTCGCTGATTCCAGATACCAGACTAAGCTTGAACACTTAATACCCAAACATTGGCAATAATGCCCAATGAGATAGTAAATTATATAGGATCTCAAAAATATGCTAAAATTGAGCATTATAGAGCCAACGATAACTCAAGCTTCCATCCCTTATGTTGGAAGAAGTAAACATAACGAAAAACCAGAAAGGAATAAACAGAACTGGAGGGGTTATTACAAAAGCTTTCGAAATTCTCCGCAATAACACGTCGATCTCTTCAAAGCCATTTTCAAAGTTTTTCTCCTACAAGCTATTGAACTCGTTTAGCAAATCCCATCTAAATAAGATATCAAATATTCTAGGATTACGTCAGTAAAATTCCCCTCTAAACCTCGGGCAAATTGTAGTTTCGAGTAGTCACTCGCACTGACTGAGGATTTTGCTGTACATTGGATTTCTATGCAAAATTTACTGAAAGAGTAGGCAATATATATATAATAGCAATATATATTAACGTTATTGATCACTGTGCAGAGAGCCGCCATGATCATGTATAGGTTAACGCGAATTTTGTCGACGAACAACAAATTTCTGTCTGTCCCTTGACTATACATGCTAAAACATTTGTCGGCCTATTTTTTGGATTCTACCCTACATGAGGATTCTTACAAAGATCGATCCTTTGTAGAGCAGAAAATCCTCAGTTTTAACATGTGGTCATTAAAAGTGACCCATCATAGTAACTTCATACAAAAATGAACTCTACAAAATTTGTATCATTCTGCTCTATGTAAGGATTAAACTTGTACTACATTAGGTTGCGTTTTGGGCCCGCTTCCCCAGAAATACGCACATAAAAAACATGCCTTTATAAAAACAAAATGTAATTTTTGTGTTCTATAGTAAAAATAAGAATTGTGTTAGACAATGTGGTGTAGGGTACTTAAATATTTATATATACTCTTACTTTTTAGATTTGGAGTACTAACCAATACTGTATCTATTTAATTTATTTCAATATTCAAACGAAAAGCCTCACCATTTTCGATAACTACAATATGCAGTTAGCTAAAATTTATTATTTAAAGAGAAAAAAGTTGGCGAAATTTTGTGAACTGCTTTCGATTGTTAGAAAATTTATAAAGTTAATAAATTAAATTGAACTCTCAAATATATAGTTGTGTTAACATACGCAACGTGTTTTTGAAAAAAAAAAGGAAAATTTTGTTGTTCTTCTTTTATTCAGTAATTTAACAACCGAAAGTTGGCTGAGATGTGTAGAAAGGCCAAAGCTGTTTTTTTAAGCCTTAGTAAAGTTAGGGTTAGTTTTGGTATATAATTATCATTCTTCTCTCATTCTAAATAATTTGGGATTTATCAAAATTATCAAAAACTTCATTATAAGATGTTGCCGAATTGTGGATATTGTGTTCTTATTTCAAAAAAGAAGGGGACCAAAAAGTTTTAAGATATCTATATCTTATTGGATCTTTGAGTTAACTAATTTGATGCAGCGATGATCAGTGACCGGAAGCGGCAGTAGTACTGTTTGGATTGATTTAGAATTTCGGAAATTGTAAAAGACAAATACATCAAATTATTTTGATTTCATTTCGTTACATCAAAATAAGCTTATAATTTTCACACGATTTATTTCTTTTTACTTATTTATAATTCAATACACAAGCCCTTCATGGGCCAAATTCATTTTCATACCACTCTCATATTAAATTTTTAATATACTTACCTTAATTTATGTTTGATTTAACTCGAACTTTTTATATAAATTGCTAACAATTTTCATGTACGCGTACTAAATATCTCGAATTTAGTATTACTATACTGATTCCTATACGATTGTACCAATTTCGTACTTATTCAGCACGTCCTCCGAAAACTGTTTTCTGGACGTAAGATACTCGATACAATCTTTCGCAATGAATCAGCTGCAATACTTTAGTGGGTATTTGTAATCATATTAACAAAAAAAAAAAAAAATTTATAATAATCAAAGCTGCATCTGCCGTAGCTGTCTTTTTTTTATTTAATTTGTATTCAATGAACACTGACACTGACAGTTCGTAAATAACAGTACAGTGCTGCCAACTTAGATAACATAGTAAAAAAACATTTCTCGTGTCAATTTGTTTGGATTTCTTGTGATTTTTCTTCCTATTATTTATTAAAATTAATCTTTCATATTCTTAAATTTGTATAGGTTTTTCACAACGAAGAATTTCTTCAATGTCAAGTGTTAATGAAAATAATTATAATTATAAATAAATGATAATAAGAATCGTGTAAAAACGACGTGTATGTGTGCACATATGTATATAAAGGTGTTTGTGCAAAGTACTGTTTTACATTATTGGATCCAAAATTTTAAATAATAAAATGTTCAAGCAAAAGTAATAAATAAAAAAAGACTTCTTCGAATTAATTTTATAGAACGATGATGGTTTTTGTTTGAAGAATAATTTCAATTGCTTCAATTGGACACAATGGAGAGAAGAGTCAAGCTGAAGGCTATAAATCCTCATATAACGTGTAAAATATGTGGTGGCTATTTTATTGATGCGACAACGGTAACGGAGTGTTTACATACCTGTAAGTTAATTATTAAAAAAACAAGGAAAAATTAAGCAGGCAGATAACAAAGTTAAATCTTTTAGTTTGTAAAAGTTGTTTGGTTAAACATTTAGAAGAAAAGAAAACCTGTCCTACCTGCGAAAATGTTATACATCAATCTCATCCCTTACAATATATCAGTTTTGATCGTACGATGCAAGATATTGTTTACAAATTAGTGCCAAATCTACAGGAAGGTGGGTAAAATAATTATAAACAAATAATTATTTAATATTTATAGCTTCTCCTCAAATTGCAGATGAAATGCGTCGAGAACGTGAGTTTTACAAGAGTCGTAATATGCCCTGCCCTAAAGATATGCCGCAAAACCATGACGATGATAATGATAAAGTTATGGAGGCACATGCCGAGTCCGATTTCCACAGACTGGATGAGCAGGTCAATGTGTGCCTAGAATGCATGAGTAACAATTTCAAAAACCTCCAAAGACGCTTCATCCGTTGTAGTTCTCAAGCAACGATTACGCACTTAAAAAAATTGGTAGCTAAAAAGATCCTCAACGGTATTGACAAATATAGAGAGGTAATTCTATAAAATTTCATTCTATTTAATTTTCCGCCAATTCACTTTCATATATCATTTAGATTGACATATTGTGCAATGAAGAATTATTGGGGAAGGATCACACCTTAAAATTTGTATATGTGACTCGTTGGCGTTTCAGAGATCCCCCATTACGTCTGCAGTTTCGTCCACGCGTGGAATTGTAATTTTTTTAAGTGATTAAGTTTACAAAATTTGATAAAACAAAATAGTTTTTCATGTAGTTATAAGAATCCTAGCAATTTGTACTTGTAAAGAAATAAAGTATAAATTATATTTTAATTTTACATAGTAGCTAAGCAATTAGTTAAACCTGAATATAATAACTTGTATTTTCTTTAGACACATACACCCTTATCACAATTTTTCTAATATTCCCATCTCTACCTGTTAATATTGTACTAAGATTTAAAATCAAAATGTTTTTCATTTACTTTTAAGTTTTGTCAAGATTTCCCAAATATACTTATAATACATGTATTTTTCTTATTCATGCTTTTTTATTTTTTCTATGTATTAAGGTGAAATGTGAATAGGATTAAATTAATCTTATATTGTCATCATAAATGCAAAAAATTATAGCCATTTTATTGAATTTAGTTTAATTTAAACGTGAAAGGTATGTTTACTGTTTATGAATAGGTTGCCGGACTTTGTGTTCTTCTTTACTAATACTTGTGTATGGCAACACCAGTGTGTAAAAAGTTTTCCTTTTTTGTTTACAAAGCTCGCGTTTCTCAAAGTTTTCATTTTGTGCATTTTAATTTTATAATTTATAGTCAATATAATTTTGTTACACATGAATGCTGTTGTAGTTTTGTGCCATTTTTGTGAAATTCATGGTCCCGCTGCTATATTTTGCACACAAACTCTACGAGATACCAAAATAGATGATTTGTGCTTAACCCGAAGCGAATGCTTCGCTAAAGCGAATGCTGCACAATGTCCTGCCTGCAATTCATTAGGCTTAATAAATGGTATGTGCAGTAAAGACGTTGATTCTGGAGCGACGTTTTTAAGCACACAACAATCCCCTTTTCCCGAGGTCGAGACCCTAATTAAGCAGGCGGCAATACGCAGTTTAAGCTGCGAAATCAACTGTAACAAAGACGGGGGCTTTGTTTTTTTTGGGGATACCATTGGAGGCCATGTACTGAGCCATACATTTCATATGAGTGATATGCAGGTGGAAAATGAACAAATAACTTTAAGAAGTATACTTCTAGAACGGTTTTTATTTGTAGGCTCGTGGTTTTTATCAGCTGTTCTCAATTATAATTCTAATGAAAGATAAATACTTTCTTCTAAATATTAAACCTTTTTTATCTGAACGTTTGCGTAAAATTTCTTCGGAAATTCAAAATTGTGCCCAAAGTATACACAAAGAGGAAGAATCCAAAGGGTCATTCAGGCAAAGACGTTTGTCAGGATCTAAATTATCTCAAACTCCTAGATCACTGGTGGAATTGACCGGAGAAAAGAATATATATATTATATTACATGCCCACTTCTCTTGGTTGCTATTGTCTGGCTCAAAATTTCTAACAGAGCATATCACATTTGGAAATTTACCATGGCTACCGCCTCAAACCAGTAGTCATCCCCCACCAGAACGGCTAACGTATAACTTAAACATCTTGCCTATGATACAAAAATATGAAAATCTAGAACAGCCCGAAGTGTTCTATTCCTTAAGACATATAAATAAGATTGTTGGGCGCAGGGAGTTTCCAGCATTGTGTTATTGCGCGTTAATTGGAATTAAGGTCAGTCTATTAATTACTGATTTATCCACTACTAAAATTCCTTACTGTCATAGATTATTGTACGCGGTGATCCCGTTAAAACTTTTCCCTTTATGATGTGCCTGAAGAAGCTGTTACCAGAAGCCATGCATAATCTAATCAGAGTTGATGCCCAACATCAGCATTCTATAGACGCAGGATATAAAATTATCTCCATAGCCGACGAGATTGCTGCGCCCATGCCAAATTCCACTGCATATCGTATAGATTTCTTAGATGAGCCAATAAAAACTAATCAAGTGTGCATCAAATGGCTTGGCTCCATACCAGCAAAATGTAAGCAGCTATATCAACTTTCATAAGTTTCGGCTTAATTAGGTTTCCTTCATTTAGGGCCGGATTTACTTGTTAAATTAGTGAAAGCTGTCGAAGAAACCAGTTTCACAGAACTGGTACTAAACAGACGTACAAAAGCTCTAGTAGAAGAGTGGAAAAAGTAGAAATTTTTGGTATCCCTCTACCGTACTTCTAATCAAATAATTTCTTTACAGTAAAGTGATTTGTCTCAGCCACGCAAAAAATACTAACGCTCAAGTCAAACTGAAGAAAGTGCTGGGTGTGCAAATCCAAGATCACGCGCTTATAAACTACTGGAGTATTTACTTAAAATAGAACTTGTATAAATCATATGCGAAATATAGTCGATTCTTCAGTAGAACACAATCTAACAACGTTTTTTAATAGTTTTTATTATTTTGGATAGTAAACCTTCCTTGCTATTTTAAAAACTCAGAAAGTTATGGGAACACTAAGCTAAAAACACTTATTTTTTGTAACCGCAGCTAGAACGGCGACCGCGAGCACGTTCAAATTTACGTCCTTTAGAGCGTACATAAGGACGTGTATGAGAATGCGGTACACCGGGCGCTTTACCAAAGTGTTTACATGCTGTACGAGCCGTACGTCTACCTTGCAGTAAGAGGCAATTCTTGCCGGTTGGGGATTTAAGTGCTAACTGATCAAAAGTGATTACTTGACCCCCAGCCTTTAAAATACGTTCGCGAGCAGTTTGCGTAACATGCAAGGCACACAATGTCATTTTTGGTACTTTCAGTATACGCGCGTCATCAGTTACTGTGCCAACAACGACTACAGTTGATTGGGGCTGCTTGGCCACTTTAAAGAAACGGGCCACACGCTGTAGAGACATGGGTGGCCGATTAGTTCTGCTCATGAATAATCGTTTCAATACAATGCGATTAAACTTTTTGTTGGTTCGACGCTGAAGAAAACGGTACAGCTGTGAAAACAAAAAGTTTACTACATATCTTCTAAAAACAAATTTCATTGCGTTGCGCACTTTCAATACTCACCTTCACCAACAAACGTAAGTAAACATCCTGGGATTTCGGTTCTGTTCTTCGAACCTTGCGATCGTATTTGTGGCAAATATCAATACCCTACAATAATTAAAACAAAAACACAAAAGTTGTATTTAACCATCTCCAACACATAATTCACTTCAACTTTTTTCCATTAAGATTATAGCTGCGCTCATAACATTTATGATGATTCAAATTCATTCAAAGTCATAAATTTTACTCGGGCAATCTTACCATTTCGCGACCGGAAAAGAAAGAAAGTTTTTAGTAACAATGTCAATCCGACAGATGAACGCCGATTTGGTAATCCGAAGTTGGTTGTAGTTTGTTCAATAAATTCATGCAGACATTATGTAGCGTTGCTATCATATCAATGTACGCGAAGTAGTCAAAACTAGTATTTCACAAAAATGTGAAAAAATATTTTATATTAAAACGTTCCACTAAATAAAAAAGCTAGGTTGCCAAATAGAATGGAAAGAATGTGATTATGAAAATGTATGAACAACGTTACACATCTTGTTGAAGTTAGTTTAAATCGGTAATTGAAATTGAGCATATGACTATAATTTATTTCTATATATAGATTAAACATATATTAAAAAAAAATCTCACAACCTGTAAACATATTCCTCGTGTATATACAATTTTATATTATACATTAAGTATAACTCTCTTTTCAATTATTTTTACCAAAGTTTTTCTAGTTGATGGATAGCACGTACTAATAAACATATCCCTTGTCTATAACCTACACAGTTTATCTACGCAGAATTAAAAATTATTTTTATCAAGGTTGCGACCAGACATTTTCAAACATATTCATAACTCATGGTAACTGGTAATGTCAAATATAGTCGGAAGACTTCGTCTAATAGCACTTAAAATTGAACAACTTTTCGTACGTACACAAAAATTTATATGAAATATTGCTTTATGGGCCTCTTTTAAGTATCTGTCGTTTGACTTAAATAAGATGACCAACATAATTTATATCGACATTAAAATATTTGGATCATTACATTCGTTAAAATGTTGTTCAAGTTTGGACTTGCTGTTAGATCACTCGCTAGTTTCGTTTTACAATCTGTCCTCGCAGATGGCACTAGAATAGGGTTTAGCGGATCAACCTGCTATTTAATCAAGAGCACTTTGGATCAAAACTGCTGATTAAATCTTTTTAACAGTTCAACAAACAAATGCAAAGCAGATAGTATGAGCCTATTATATCGTTTTGTTCCAGCTTGTTATTTTCACGTAAGAAAATCATTACCAAGCTAAATTATGCAGCGTTGTAATTTTATGAATTAGAAATAGAAGAAAGAATCACCAAACGTGTAATTTATATGGTGGAGGATTTTTTCCGTTCTGCTTAATTTATAAGCAAAAGTGAGCAGCGTTCCAAACGAACTGCTGTGGTTTAAAATTAATCAATTAAAACACAAACTTAAAATTAAAAACGGATTATACCCGATGATAATGCCATTAAAAGAACTTCCTGTTACGATGGTTCATATGTGTTGAAACTAGCACCCTGCAACAAATGTTTTGGGGAGAAAAGAACAAAAACAATCAAGCGGTCGATAAATAAATATTGAACACGTACTTTTCTTATGAAAAATACACCTCATTCTGCATATAACCACATATGTGCGAAAAAGGCTTAGAGTTTGTCGTTTTGAGAGTATACTAAGTCAAATATTATATTTCACCTTGTATGGTTGATTTAACAACTCGGTTTGTACAATATCAATACCTTTGATACATTTCGTGATATATAGAACTTGCTAGCTCTGTTTGAATCGAAAGAGGCATTTTTAACAAGGTATGTTTATTTATTCTCTCTTATATTCATACATAAGTTTTTATATATCTGATTTTAAACCAAACATTTTCAATCTTTCATATTCAAGTCCCGACTCGATACTAATATTTCTTTTTCTTCACTATTTTCATAAATAAAACCATGCCTGCAACAAGATTTCACAAAGATATTAGTTTCTTCCTTTGGAAATTTATGAAATTTTTACCTATGAATGTTACTATAACAAATGTTATCATCATCCACATCCAACACTTCCAAGCGTTACGAGAATGATCCTCCAGTTTCTCCGTTTCTTTATTCAAAGCTCCTATGTTACGATCTGCCATACCAGAGGAATGTGAAACCATTTCAGTATCTTTCTTGATAATTTGATTGGCAGTTACTGTTTGCTGCTTAAGATTTCTCGTTAAAGACAACATATGCTCTGTGATTTTTTTTTGATTCTCACGCATATATTTGACGGCTTCGCTTTGTTCACCGCTATCGTTCTGCAAAGGTTTACGTTTACGTACGCTTTCTTCCAACAATTCTCTACGCTCTTCAGCATATTGTTTCGTAGCCTGCAACTGACGTATTTCTCTTAAAGCGTCATCCCCCGATTCTGCAGCTGCTCCTCTTTGTCGAACAGCATGTAAATTGTTAGCTTGAGGTGAACTTTCTATATAATTAATTTTCGCCTTTAAATTGTCTAATCTTCGGTTATAAATTGGGACTTTCTCATTTCTAGAACAATTGGAAAAGAAATTTACACATATGCATATTTATAATTTTTTTAAACCCCAGTACATTTATTTACTCATCCATGTCGCTAAGTTCCTGTATCATTATATCCAAAGATTTTATGAACTTTCGTAACCGCCAATAATTGCTTTTGTCAGCAGCCAATTCCTCACAATCATTTAACAAAGTTCGTATATTTACGTTCAACTTTGCGGCCATTTTTGGTTTTTTATATTCTCATATTTCACATTCATCATAAAACATACACCACGTCACATAACTTCTTTTGACTTCTTGTAAATAAAAGTCTGCTTCTTCTTTGCCGTTATTATCAACCGTAGAATGATATCGTATTCAAGCGGTGTATTCCTAAATCCCATAAATATTATAAATCCCTATAAATGGTGTGTTTTGTGAGGACTTGTAACATACACATAAAGATCTCCGCCATTTTTTATTAAAAAATTTTTCATCGATTACGACAAATGTTTCTTGCTATTTGAAGAAAATATAAACCGTTTATCTGCGAATAAAAACTGACAACAATTGAAAATAAAAATTAATGAAAATAATAGCTTAAAGTTTATTATTGTGTTGTGGCTTAATTTCGCTTTTTATGATTTGAAATGTTCTTAAGGATTTGGTGAGTAATGATTGCTTAGAAATCGAAATCTGTCTCAACATATACATACAAAAAGCGTTGCGTGTCGCGTTCATCAGCAATGTGTATTTGAGGATTTTATTGATTTTTCATTGAAAATGAGGAAAAGATTCAAAATGCAAGTGTTATTTTATACATTCAAAGACGATTTGTAATTTATTAGATATTATATTTATTATTTCAAATATATTTGGCTTAAAAACACCAAGCGTTATGTTTAAAATTTTAAAGAGCACAACACAACAACAATTAATGAAACAAACTGCCTAATTTTCGGTACCATTTTGTTAAATAAAAAAAAGATACTCTTAAATTTGACTAACCCGATCGCACACTAAAAGGCTTAACGATATATGGTTCTATGTGCGCTAAGTATTTGTAAACATTAAATAAGAAATGCTTGGTTTTACAATACATGAATTTTTGCAAGGTCGCATTTTTAGTTGTTAGAACGGATTTGCAAGTTAATCGAAAATTCAACAAGTTGTATTGAATTAGTTACATTTTATAAAGTAAGCAGAAAAAGTGCTAAAATATTTTTTCATTTGTCACAACTTAGTCCCGTTAATGTTTGTTAAACGTTTTTGATAGGCATCGTTTATTTGAAATTTTAATACGCATGGCTATAACATATATATGGTCTACTGAACTGTGAAAGATTATTTTCCATTAATATTAGATGTGTTCTACTACATGTCCTTGTGATAAAAATGCTGGTCACTTCTTCTACGCATATATTGAATTCAGCATGCCATTAAATACAAACCAACCGGCAAAAATATATACCTTAATATGGAAAGATTCTGTTGTCTAGTTGAAGAGAAGTGAGTACGAAATTTTTACTTTGAAAGCATTAACGAAAAAATATGAAAGCAAAAAGTTTAACGTGTAAAACCACTATAGTGGGCCATGGCCCACCATTAAGTATCCTACACCACTTCACTTAAAACAATTGGTCATATATATGTAACGACTTTTCAAGATAAGGTTAATATGGGGAGTGATTGTAAATGTGATCCGACCAATCGAACCTTTCATTTTAAATAACGTTCGCTCTTAATGGTGTACCAAATTTCATCGCAATATCTTAAAAATTGCGACTTGTGGGTGACGGACAGACAAGCTTATAATTACGTTCTTAATTGATCGGTATATATATCGGTGCACCTATTTTAAGTCCTCCTGTGTGTGCCATGCATCCGCACAAACTTAATGTACATTTTTGCCGTGCTGAATGTGGTGTAGGGTATAAAAAGTATAAGTAACAAAGTAATAAGCTTAGAAAAACTTGTTGATTTCTTATATTTCATAACGTTAAATGCACTGGGCAAAATGCACTTATGATTCTGAATTTTGTTAAATATAATAAGAGGAGTATAATGAATTGCAAGCACGGTTTTTTCAGATTTACATGCACAAAGAAAAGAAAAAGGAAATTGTATTCGCCTTCGGGCGGACACTGGATATTACTGCTGCAGAAAATATTTAAAAATCGACACGTCTTCTTATTAATTGTGAACTTGTTAGTCGGCTGGTCGTGGCTCTGGACTTCACGGGATTTGTAGAGACCTGTTAAGTAGATCATCAGTGGGCAAATTACGTTCTTTTTCAAAACTGAAATATGGACTTGATTTGGAAATGCTTCATCAAATTCATCTCAATTTTTCCGGTTAAAAGTTTCTAACAGGAGGAGTACATCATTAGATAGATTCTAAAATTTCACGCCGATATAAAATATATATAAATTGCGAGAGAGAGAGAGAGAAGTGGGCAATGATTGCTGGAGATGCAATACCCTTAAGTAGTAGGAATCAAAGTTGTCAAAGTCGCTACGAACACAATACATTGTAACATATTCGCATGTACTACCTACCGTCTTCCGTATGTAAACAGTTAACCCTTCATTTGTATTGCTTGTTTTTTTTTAATATTACATTTGGAATTGTTCGTATTTCAATGTGGCGCTCGTTGCGATAATCTACTCATTTATTTAATTTCTTTTTTATGTTATTTTATTTGTGTTGTGCAAGGAATACATGTCGGTTTTTGATGCCTTAGGTTTGCAATAGGAAAAAATAAAGTACATTGGTACGGAAAAACGTAGAAAATTGCGAAGAAGAACAGATCCATTACGCTTTGCTAAATTTTGGAATGTATTCACAACTACAATGTATATGCCAAAGACGAAGGGACATGGAAACCAATTCGGTACTGAATGTCAACTAAGAAGATCTTTACCTTACGGTATATCTAATATGCGCACGGCATATACATTAACATGTCTCAGGACTTCTATGACCGGTGATTCGCGGATCCTTTATTGAAGGAAAGCAGTACCTAATGTAAAGTAGGACCCATATAACATATTTAATTCTAAGCCCTGTTGTCAAACTCATTCAATCGTTTTCAGCAAGGTTTATACCTTGCTCGCAAAAGGCTAAAAAATAAATGTATTTTCGCATAAATTTTTATTATCTGCAACATGATCTCTACATGAATCGAGCTTTGATTGTTATGGGCGGCACATATGATTTTCAATAAAGTCAAGTTTCTGTTAAGGTGAGATAATATGTTCCATCTTGTTAAAAAAAGAGTTGTTGAACGACGTCTGTCCGATGTTAACAAATATCTAATAGTAAATAATTGCAATAATCATTCTCTGATTTTATTATATACCATGCAACACCTATGGTAAAAGGGTATAATAAGTTTATGCGAACGTATGCAATACTCAGAAGGGCCTTGCTTATTATACAGATCGATTTAGAATTATTTGCAGAATCATTTTTTAATTCGATCTAAACTTGTCTGTCCGTCTTGTTTTCTTGGACTTAACTTGCAAGCCGCATTTTTTGAAATATTTTCATGAAATTTGATGCACTGACAGGTTTTGGCCCAATGAATCAATGGTATTGAAAATAGTTCGGATCGGACAAATTTCTCTACCACTTCCCACTTATACGAATAACCGTAGAGTGGTGTACGGTATTTAATGATGTGCTGCGTACCACTATTAAGTTTTTACAAAACATATTTCTCAACTTAGATAAAATTCTTTCTTATTCTCTCTCAAGCGACAATAGCAATGTTGAAATTTAGGAAACTGGATTTGGAAACACAATATTGAATATTATCAAGATGTAGAAATTAAAAAAGTTGACCAGTAATTACTAAAAAGTGAAAAAAATATTTTGATTTATTTAATTTTTTTGATTTTAACTCTTAATATGCATAGCGATGTAAATATACGTCGTGTGTTCGTTTAAAATCTCATATCTCCTCCTTATAAAGGAAACTTTGCATAGTGTTTTTTTTTAACCGTTAAATGCATATTGTTGTCAATTTTATCGTATTTTTAATATTGTTTATTTTAACGTTTTTAATCAAATTAATTTTAAAATTAAGTGGAACTGGAATGTAAACAATTGGCAACAATATGGCAATTAAGGGCTAAACATTTTTCATACGTATTACTGCTTCAATACCACAAACATCAACATCGATTAGCAATTCGGTCCTGTATTGTCGATATCATAATTTGTAATTTGAAAAATTTGTGACAGATTTGATATCGCCGCATATTATATCGATGCGTGATTGTGATATTGCCTTCTACATTTGAGTACCTTTTGTCCTGTCCATGAACTTCTGATAAGTTTATCATTCGCTGCTAAAACGTAAGTGTTCTTATTGAGATTTTTAGTTGGTATGCCAATAAATTTCCGGGGTTTTTTTTTTTTTTTTTTTTTTTTTTTGAGAGAGAGAGAGAGAGAGAGAGAAAATCGCAAGCAGCCAGCCTTGCCGCATAAAGCGAGGAAAGTAGCAGGTCCAAATTCACGGACCCTCTACATGTTGCAATGTCACGCATTCCTATCTCGCATAGTATTGGCCTATTGTGCATGGTGCATGCTTTAAATTGATCACTTGTTGTTGTTACCAAGCGCTCATAGTACAAGATCCCTTTCTAATCCCAGCAAACGCAAAGCAACGTATACTTCCCGAAGTGATTTGGCCGTGTCGTCGGCGTAGATGCTTGCTTTTTTTTGCAAAGGCAAAATTTTGAAAGTGATTCTCTGATTTCTCATGTGCCTCTCAGTCAACTCATGGCGTCATGGCATGTTTGCAAATACATTGGCGAATCATCATTGATGTTTTTGAGAGTTGTATTTGTGTTTCTGCATCCTCGTTATTCAGCAATAGAACTTATAGATCGACGTCGTCCTTAATTGTTTTTGGTCTTCCGGAGTGTTCCTTATCCTCAGTATCGAAATCATCGCTCTTGAAGCGTCGTTTTAAACACTGAACTTACATCTTTATAGGCAGTAACTTCCAGCTGTATGTTCGCCCTAGGCCTCCTTAAGCGAAAAGAAGCAAGACTTTCCGCAAACGCTAATTATTTGGCACCAAAAATTCCACATTTTCGTTTTTGGAGAGACTACTTTTGTGTTGCCATATTTGTTGACGTGACGGCTAATTATTGTTGTCAGTTGTCCAAGCTATAAAATAACATAACTTCGGACCAGTTTGTCCATTATATGCGCTATTATCGCCGCATATTATATCCGAACGCCGAAAATCTATTAATATCGGGCTGGCTGGACGTGCTGGGAGTTCGACCAAAGCTTCAACGTTGCTTGCCTAATACTTATTGCTTA